TTGGGGACAATTTATTTGTTTGATTATTTATACGGCAAAAATTACTGACCACAGGTTAGGAGAAAACACCGTATTAAGTTTTCAATTGTGTGTGCGATGTCGGTTTTTGGGGCGGCACGATTTGAGTTAAAACCTAGAAAAATACTCAAAAAGTGTGGGGTTACAATCAAACGACCGGGGGCTTTTTAGGTCAGTATGAAAGGTGAGGTCGACCGGTTTCGTTTCCGCAACTCATCAGGACCTCGGGGTAAAAAAAGGAGTCGAGATTTCTCTCTTCTCACTTTTTTAGGTAGGGGGGAGGGTGTATATGATGTGTCGGGTGCGTGCGTTGTGCGTGTTGCTAGGTGTTGTTTTGGTTTGTCTTGAAAAAGACAGTTTGACAAGGTGCCTCCAGAGAGACGGTTTTTTGGTGTCTTGAAAAAGACAGTTTTTCTACTATCTCCTATACGGGTGATGGCGGTGGGGCAATTTAGAACGGCACGTTTTAAACTTGGAAGGGGTCGGAATTTGTAGCGACAGGAGCGGTTTTGGTTGGGAGGTACGAATGGACATTAACGGGGTGGGTGGTATCCTTGGTGGAATCAAAGGTTTGGGCGGTTTTTGTGTTAATGTCCAGGATCGAAGGTGGTGCCTGAGTGGGGACGGTCAACAAATTTGGAAGTGGGGGTATAGTTTTAGCGGTAACCAAACGGGGAGCGTACGAAACTTTAACCGGAGAAGGCGCAAAAATCAGAAATAGGGGAACGGAGGAAGGGGAGTCGCAAGGGGGGTGACGATAATCGAGGGGACGATGAGGGAGGGAAGGGTAACGGAAGCCATAGTGTCGGTCGAATATGTTGTCGAAATAGGAATTGGAATGCGAAATGTAGCTACGGAGCTAGAAGGTATAGCAGTGAGTTCAGTGGAGACCAGTGAACGCAATGAAATTTTAGGTTTTAGGGTTAGGTATTTAAAGGCGATGGTGTTAAGCGCCTTGGGGGATAGCCAATCGGAGAAAGGGGAGGATGTTTATCGCTAAAAGAATAGGCGGGGAGGGGTGAGAATTAGGGGGTTTGTTTAGGGTCCGAAAGAGGAGGGCGGTGTTTAGATTGAAGTATAAGGTCGGTAAATAGGGCGCTAACGAGGCGAGAAGATCGGCGGTCGAAATTAAAAGATGAAACGTTAAGGGGAGTTTTTCAGTGGGGTTTGTGTAGGAACATTTGCGCTTTAGTGGGGTGGGAGTTGATACCGAGAGGGTAGGTGGTGCCGAGAAAACGAATTAATTGTTGTTCCTTGGATTTGCGTGTTTTAGGCGGGACAATTTGGTTAGATTTTTGTGGAGGCGTTTTGGTTTGGGTATGTGGAGCGACATTAGGGCTGGCGGGTCGTATGTGTTGCGAGTCGATAGGGGGGTAGTCGTTTTGGTTGGGGCGGATTGAATGGTTGGACTGGGTGGGTGAGCCCCGTCGTTTTTTGACTGTCGTGGGTGCGTGCGTGTCGAGTTTGTGTACCTCTGCCTTGGTTCGGTGGTGGTATACCAATCGGACGGGCAGAGGGGGTTTGTCGGGTCGAGTGTGCCGTCGGAGTCGAGCTTAGAGACGTGGGAGAAAGCCTCATGGGCAATTTTAATGATGACGCCGAAATGTGTGAGGTCAGGGTTGATATCGAAAAATTGCCTGATGCAAAGAATGGGGTTAGGGTTAGGGTTAGGGTTAGGGTTAGGGTTAGGGTTAGGGTTAGGGTTAGGGTTAGGGTTAGGGTTAGGGTTAGGGTTAGGGTTAGGGTTAGGACATTTATAATTTAAAGTAGAGAACTCGCCTATACACGCAGCGTAGGGGGAGGGCCTAGGAAAAGTGGCTCGCGATTTATCGGGCTGGAATAAATGCGAGTGGTCACTTGATCGAACTAATGGAACTATTAGGTTTTAGGGGGAGGGCGCGTTGACTATAACGGGAGTTCTCCTGGAAAAGTCTGTTAAGAGTTTTCGTAAGCGGAAATTGTGATGTAGATCAACGTAAATAACAGGGACTGGCTATAGCGAGGTGCGAGACGGTTAGTCAGTCCCTGTTACAATTTGGGACGCTTATCATGTACCGCGGCGTAGAGGGCGTCGGTGGTGTTACTGGGGAGTAGACACCTAGGCGATAACTATTTGTACAGTGTGATTGGTAGCGGATGTTCAAAGGGGCGGCGAGGATGGGAAGTGTAAATACCCAGCGAGGTGTCAACCGTAAGGGGAGATAGAACAAAAACTAAACTAAACGGCAAATAGAGGATCGTTTTTATGAGGGCGGGACAGCTGTTGAGCGGCGGTGTTTTTGAACGCAGGTCTAGAAATATGGCGGGAGTAAATAAACTGAGAAAACCGCGAGGATGTTGTTGAACGGACGTTGCGTGATCGAAAGGGGGTTGGCAAAATTGAAGTCAGAGGAAAAAACGGTCGAAAAAGCGGTAAATTTAGAGATCGAAAGTGTGGGGTAAACGAGAGACTGGTTCGAGAGCGGGCGCGAACCGTCCAAAAAAGAAATGATAAAGTGGCGTAGGACGAACGGAGCGAGCCACTTTGGGGGACAATAATTGATTGGAGTCGAAAGGTATAAGTACCGGGATTGGTAGGGGGACTGGAGAGAGAAAAGTTTGGCGGGAGTTTTGTTAGCGCGGGGAGCGCTAGTTTTGGTTGTAGTTGGAGTTCGGAAAATAAAAAAGTAGGATCTAAATTAGAGGGACAATTTGCGTGAGTCGAATGGTGTAACTACGTAAATTTAGCGAGGGCGGGATGTAATATAAACGGGAGTTTATTAGCGCGGAGAGCGCTGATTTAGGTTTTAGGATCGAAATTATAAAATGTTTGGACAAAAATAGAGGGGGTAATTACTAAGCGAACGTTGGAGTTTGTAACAACGGTAATTTAGCGGGAGTTTATTAGCGCGGGGAGCGCTGGTTTTGGTTGCGGTGTAGGTTCGAAAATTGGAGACGGTTCGAAATAAGAGGGGGGACAATTTATTTTGCGTGAGTCGAAAAGGTGAGGGGTAAGTTAGAGGGTGGGAGGTGATTTTAGCGGGAGTTTTTTAGCGCGGGGAGCGCTGGTTTTGGTTGTAGTTAAGAGTTCGAAATTCAAAAAGGTAGAGACTAAACAAGGGGACAATTTGATTATGTGAGTCGAAAAAAGTCCGAGAATTTGTGTGGTTGGGGACAATTTATTTGTTTGATTATTTATACGGCAAAAATTACTGACCACAGGTTAGGAGAAAACACCGTATTAAGTTTTCAATTGTGTGTGCGATGTCGGTTTTTGGGGCGGCACGATTTGAGTTAAAACCTAGAAAAATACTCAAAAAGTGTGGGGTTACAATCAAACGACCGGGGGCTTTTTAGGTCAGTATGAAAGGTGAGGTCGACCGGTTTCGTTTCCGCAACTCATCAGGACCTCGGGGGAAAAAAAGGAGTCGAGATTTCTCTCTTCTCACTTTTTTAGGTAGGGGGGAGGGTGTATATGATGTGTCGGGTGCGTGCGTTGTGCGTGTTGCTAGGTGTTGTTTTGGTTTGTCTTGAAAAAGACAGTTTGACAAGGTGCCTCCAGAGAGACGGTTTTTTGGTGTCTTGAAAAAGACAGTTTTTCTACTATCTCCTATACGGGTGATGGCGGTGGGGCAATTTAGAACGGCACGTTTTAAACTTGGAAGGGGTCGGAATTTGTAGCGACAGGAGCGGTTTTGGTTGGGAGGTACGAATGGACATTAACGGGGTGGGTGGTATCCTTGGTGGAATCAAAGGTTTGGGCGGTTTTTGTGTTAATGTCCAGGATCGAAGGTGGTGCCTGAGTGGGGACGGTCAACAAATTTGGAAGTGGGGGTATAGTTTTAGCGGTAACCAAACGGGGAGCGTACGAAACTTTAACCGGGGAAGGCGCAAAAATCAGAAATAGGGGAACGGAGGAAGGGGAGTCGCAAGGGGGGTGACGATAATCGAGGGGACGATGAGGGAGGGAAGGGTAACGGGAGCCATAGTGTCGGTCGAATATGTTGTCGAAATAGGAATTGGAATGCGAAATGTAGCTACGGAGCTAGAAGGTATAGCAGTGAGTTCAGTGGAGACCAGTGAACGCAATGAAATTTTAGGTTTTAGGGTTAGGTATTTAAAGGCGATGGTGTTAAGCGCCTTGGGGGATAGCCAATCGGAGAAAGGGGAGGGTGTTTATCGCTAAAAGAATAGGCGGGGAGGGGTGAGAATTAGGGGGTTTGTTTAGGGTTAGGGTTAGGGTTAGGGTTAGGGTTAGGGTTAGGGTTAGGGTTAGGGTTAGGGTTAGGGTTAGGGTTAGGGTTAGGGTTAGGGTTAGGGTTAGGGTTAGGAGATTATAATTTAAAGTAGTGAGAACTCGCCCATTCACGCAGCGTAGGGGGAGGGCCTAGGAAAAGTGGCTCGCGATTTATCGGGCTGGAATAAATGCGAGTGGTCACTTGATCGAACTAATGGAACTATTAGGTTTTAGGGGGAGGGCGCGTTGACTATAACGGGAGTTCTCCTGGAAAAGTCTGTTAAGAGTTTTCGTAAGCGGAAATTGTGATGTAGATCAACGTAAATAACAGGGACTGGCTATAGCGAGGTGCGAGACGGTTAGTCAGTCCCTGTTACAATTTGGGACGCTTATCATGTACCGCGGCGTAGAGGGCGTCGGTGGTGTTACTGGGGAGTAGACACCTAGGCGATAACTATTTGTACAGTGTGATTGGTAGCGGATGTTCAAAGAGGCGGCGAGGATGGGAAGTGTAAATACCCAGCGAGGTGTCAACCGTAAGGGGAGATAGAACAAAAACTAAACTAAACGGCAAATAGAGGATCGTTTTTATGAGGGCGGGACAGCTGTTGAGCGGCGGTGTTTTTGAACGCAGGTCTAGAAATTTGGCGGGAGTAAATAAACTGAGAAAACCGCGAGGATGTTGTTGAACGGACGTTGCGTGATCGAAAGGGGGTTGGCAAAATTGAAGTCAGAGGAAAAAACGGTCGAAAAAAGCGGTAAATTTAGAGATCGAAAGTGTGGGGTAAACGAGAGACTGGTTCGAGAGCGGGCGCGAACCGTCCAAAAAAGAAATGATAAAGTGGCGTAGGACGAACGGAGCGAGCTACTTTTAGGGGACAATAATTGATTGGAGTCGAAAGGTATAAGTACCGGGATTGGTAGGGGGACTGGAGAGAGAAAAGTTTGGCGGGAGTTTTGTTAGCGCGGGGAGCGCTAGTTTTGGTTGTAGTTGGAGTTCGAAAAATAAAAAAGGTAGGATCTAAAATAGAGGGACAATTTGCGTGAGTCGAATGGTGTAACTACGTGAATTTAGCGAGGGCGGGATGTAATATAAATGGGAGTTTATTAGCGCGGGGAGCGCTGATTTAGGTTTTAGGATCGAAATTAAAAATGTTTGGACAAAAATAGAGGGGGTAATTGCTAAGCGAACGTCGGAGTTTGTAACAACGGTAATTTAGCGGGAGTTTATTAGCGCGGGGAGCGCTGGTTTTGGTTGCGGTGTAGGTTCGAAAATTGGAGACGGTTCGAAATAAGAGGGGGGACAATTTATTTTGCGTGAGTCGAAAAGGTGAGGGGTAAGTTAGAGGGTGGGAGGTGATTTTAGCGGGAGTTTTTTAGCGCGGGGAGCGCTGGTTTTGGTTGTAGTTAAGAGTTCGAAATTCAAAAAGGTAGAGACTAAACAAGGGGACAATTTGATTATGTGAGTCGAAAAAAGTCCGAGAATTTGTGTGGTTAGGGTTAGGGTTAGGGTTAGGGTTAGGGTTAGGGTTAGGGTTAGGGTTAGGGTTAGGGTTAGGGTTAGGGTTAGGGGTTAGGGTTAGGGGTTAGGGGTTAGGGTTAGGGTTAGGGTTAGGGTTAGGGTTAGGGTTAGGGTTAGGGGTTAGGGTTAGGGGTTAGGGTTAGGGTTAGGGTTAGGGTTAGGGGTTAGGGTTAGGGGTTAGGGGTTAGGGTTAGGGTTAGGGTTAGGGTTTAGGGTTAGGGGTTAGGGTTAGGGTTAGGGTTAGGGTTAGGGTTAGGGTTAGGGTTAGGGTTAGGGTTAGGGTTAGGGTTAGGGTTAGGGTTAGGGTTAGGAGATTTTATAATTTAAAGTAGTGAGAACTCGCCCATTCACGCAGCGTAGGGGGAGGGCCTAGGAAAAGTGGCTCGCGATTTATCGGGCTGGAATAAATGCGAGTGATCACTTGATCGAACTAATGGAACTATTAGGTTTTAGGGGGAGGGCGCGTTGACTATAACGGGAGTTCTCCTGGAAAAGTCAGTTAAGAGTTTTCGTAAGCGGAAATTGTGATGTAGATCAACGTAAATAACAGGGACTGGCTATGACGAGGTGCGAGACGGTTAGTCAGTCCCTGTTACAATTTGGGACGCTTATCATGTACCGCGGCGTAGAGGGCGTCGGTGGTGTTACTGGGGAGTAGACACCTAGGCGATAACTATTAGTACAGTGTGATTGGTAGCGGACGTTCAAAGGGGCGGTGAGGATGGGAAGTGTAAATACCCAGCGAGGTGTCAACCGTAAGGGGAGATAGAACAAAAACTAAACTAAACGGCAAATAGAGGATCGTTTTTATGAGGGCGGGACAGCTGTTGAGCGGCGGTGTTTTTGAACGCAGGTCTAGAAATTTGGCGGGAGTAAATAAACTGAGAAAACCGCGAGGATGTTGTTGAACGGACGTTGCGTGATCGAAAGGGGGTTGGCAAAATTGAAGTCAGAGGAAAAAACGGTCGAAAAAAGCGGTAAATTTAGAGATCGAAAGTGTGGGGTAAACGAGAGACTGGTTCGAGAGCGGGCGCGAACCGTCCAAAAAAGAAATGATAAAGTGGCATAGGACGAACGGAGCGAGCTACTTTAGGGGACAATAAATGATTGGAGTCGAAAGGTATAAGTACCGGGATTGGTAGGGGGACTGGAGAGAGAAAAGTTTGGCGGGAGTTTTGTTAGCGCGGGGAGCGCTAGTTTTGGTTGTAGTTGGAGTTCGAAAAATAAAAAAGGTAGGATCTAAAATAGAGGGACAATTTGCGTGAGTCGAATGGTGTAACTACGTGAATTTAGCGAGGGCGGGATGTAATATAAATGGGAGTTTATTAGCGCGGGGAGCGCTGATTTAGGTTTTAGGATCGAAATTAAAAATGTTTGGACAAAAATAGAGGGGGTAATTGCTAAGCGAACGTCGGAGTTTGTAACAACGGTAATTTAGCGGGAGTTTATTAGCGCGGGGAGCGCTGGTTTTGGTTGCGGTGTAGGTTCGAAAATTGGAGACGGTTCGAAATAAGAGGGGGGACAATTTATTTTGCGTGAGTCGAAAAGGTGAGGGGTAAGTTAGAGGGTGGGAGGTGATTTTAGCGGGAGTTTTTTAGCGCGGGGAGCGCTGGTTTTGGTTGTAGTTAAGAGTTCGAAATTCAAAAAGGTAGAGACTAAACAAGGGGACAATTTGATTATGTGAGTCGAAAAAAGTCCGAGAATTTGTGTGGTTGGGGACAATTTATTTGTTTGATTATTTATACGGCAAAAATTACTGACCACAGGTTAGGAGAAAACACCGTATTAAGTTTTCAATTGTGTGTGCGATGTCGGTTTTTGGGGCGGCACGATTTGAGTTAAAACCTAGAAAAATACTCAAAAAGTGTGGGGTTACAATCAAACGACCGGGGGCTTTTTAGGTCAGTATGAAAGGTGAGGTCGACCGGTTTCGTTTCCGCAACTCATCAGGACCTCGGGGGAAAAAAAGGAGTCGAGATTTCTCTCTTCTCACTTTTTTAGGTAGGGGGGAGGGTGTATATGATGTGTCGGGTGCGTGCGTTGTGCGTGTTGCTAGGTGTTGTTTTGGTTTGTCTTGAAAAAGACAGTTTGACAAGGTGCCTCCAGAGAGACGGTTTTTTGGTGTCTTGAAAAAGACAGTTTTTCTACTATCTCCTATACGGGTGATGGCGGTGGGGCAATTTAGAACGGCACGTTTTAAACTTGGAAGGGGTCGGAATTTGTAGCGACAGGAGCGGTTTTGGTTGGGAGGTACGAATGGACATTAACGGGGTGGGTGGTATCCTTGGTGGAATCAAAGGTTTGGGCGGTTTTTGTGTTAATGTCCAGGATCGAAGGTGGTGCCTGAGTGGGGACGGTCAACAAATTTGGAAGTGGGGGTATAGTTTTAGCGGTAACCAAACGGGGAGCGTACGAAACTTTAACCGGGGAAGGCGCAAAAATCAGAAATAGGGGAACGGAGGAAGGGGAGTCGCAAGGGGGGTGACGATAATCGAGGGGACGATGAGGGAGGGAAGGGTAACGGAAGCCATAGTGTCGGTCGAATATGTTGTCGAAATAGGAATTGGAATGCGAAATGTAGCTACGGAGCTAGAAGGTATAGCAGTGAGTTCAGTGGAGACCAGTGAACGCAATGAAATTTTAGGTTTTAGGGTTAGGTATTTAAAGGCGATGGTGTTAAGCGCCTTGGGGGATAGCCAATCGGAGAAAGGGGAGGGTGTTTATCGCTAAAAGAATAGGCGGGGAGGGGTGAGAATTAGGGGGTTTGTTTAGGGTCCGAAAGAGGAGGGCGGTGTTTAGATTGAAGTATAAGGTCGGTAAATAGGGCGCTAACGAGGCGAGAAGATCGGCGGTCGAAATTAAAAGATGAAACGTTAAGGGGAGTTTTTCAGTGGGGTTTGTGTAGGAACATTTGCGCTTTAGTGGGGTGGGAGTTGATACCGAGAGGGTAGGTGGTGCCGAGAAAACGAATTAATTGTTGTTCCTTGGATTTGCGTGTTTTAGGCGGGACAATTTGGTTAGATTTTTGTGGAGGCGTTTTGGTTTGGGTATGTGGAGCGACATTAGGGCTGGCGGGTCGTATGTGTTGCGAGTCGATAGGGGGGTAGTCGTTTTGGTTGGGGCGGATTGAATGGTTGGACTGGGTGGGTGAGCCCCGTCGTTTTTTGACTGTCGTGGGTGCGTGCGTGTCGAGTTTGTGTACCTCTGCCTTGGTTCGGTGGTGGTATACCAATCGGACGGGCAGAGGGGGTTTGTCGGGTCGAGTGTGCCGTCGGAGTCGAGCTTAGAGACGTGGGAGAAAGCCTCATGGGCAATTTTAATGATGACGCCGAAATGTGTGAGGTCAGGGTTGATATCGAAAAATTGCCTGATGCAAAGAATGGCGTCGGAGAAACGTTGTTTTTCTATTTTTTTGGCAAAAGCGAATGAGATTTCTCTAAGCTCGTGGGCGAAAGACAGAGAATGGTTTTGCCATTCCTGTATGAAGGCGGGCTCTTGGTCGTGAAAATAGAGCGGGGTGTTGGGGTAAAAATTAGAGGGAAAGTCCTCCATTTGGATCGCGGATTCGAGGCGGTCGGATTGAATTTTAGCGATCCAAAAACGTTGGAGATGGGAACGGAGTGAGGTCGCATCGAATTTGGCTTTGGGGTCGGAAATTAGGTATTCAGGCGGGGAAAAGTTAGGTTGGGAAACCATATGGAAAATGTGAAGGAGGTCTACGTGTTTGGGGTCGAAACGAAAAGCCGAGGTAGATGGTAGGGGTGAGGTAGCGCAGGCAACGCTATGGGAATCGAAATAGGCGGCCGAAGTGGAAGGTTGGGGCGAGGAGGGAGTATTTGTGGTAGCGCGGGGAGCGCTGTTATGTTCAAAGTAGGAGGCCGAAGTAGAAGGTTTGGGCGAGGGAGTGTTACGTTTTGGGTAGCCGTGATCGAAAGTTGGGGAGAAATATGGCGCGACCAGATTTGGAGGAGCGGTAAAATTAGGTATGGGACGGGTGAGTAATTTGGATGGTGGACAAGAGAGGACGGGCGAGGGAGGTTGATTAGGTAAGGGGGATAATTGTAAGTCGTTTAGAATTTGGAGAGTGGCCATGTCAGTCGAATCGATCGAAAGGTTGGGCGATGAACAGCGGCCAGGCGAGGCAAGGGGGCTATTAGGTGGGGAAATCGACGAGTTCGAGGCGTTAGAACTCGAAGGGGACGTCGGTACGTGTGGAGTCATGGTGTGTGGTTGGCGTCGGGTGTAGCGGCGGAGCATGATAAAGCGTAAGCGATTGAAATATGGGGACAAAATTTGGGTAGAAATTGGTAGATAAAAATTAAAGGTTCTTACGTAAAATGATTAGGGTCCAAACGAGGTGTTAGACGGAAGACGTCAGAGTCCAGAATGAAATGATAATGGGACAGTGTTCCAAAAGTAAGGGGCGGGCGACGTGATTGGTTGACAAGTCCGGCTTTGTTAAGAGCACAAATGTCAATCCAACCCGTTGGGGGAGGGGTTATCTACACTGCGGATCCAAGTACGCACCCAAAAGAGAATGTTACCGGATTCCAGGCGGGAGTTGCTCGAGTGGGGACGGTTAGGAGATTTTATAATTTAAAGTAGTGAGAACTCGCCCATTCACGCAGCGTAGGGGGAGGGCCTAGGAAAAGTGGCTCGCGATTTATCGGGCTGGAATAAATGCGAGTGATCACTTGATCGAACTAATGGAACTATTAGGTTTTAGGGGGAGGGCGCGTTGACTATAACGGGAGTTCTCCTGGAAAAGTCAGTTAAGAGTTTTCGTAAGCGGAAATTGTGATGTAGATCAACGTAAATAACAGGGACTGGCTATGACGAGGTGCGAGACGGTTAGTCAGTCCCTGTTACAATTTGGGACGCTTATCATGTACCGCGGCGTAGAGGGCGTCGGTGGTGTTACTGGGGAGTAGACACCTAGGCGATAACTATTAGTACAGTGTGATTGGTAGCGGACGTTCAAAGGGGCGGTGAGGATGGGAAGTGTAAATACCCAGCGAGGTGTCAACCGTAAGGGGAGATAGAACAAAAACTAAACTAAACGGCAAATAGAGGATCGTTTTTATGAGGGCGGGACAGCTGTTGAGCGGCGGTGTTTTTGAACGCAGGTCTAGAAATTTGGCGGGAGTAAATAAACTGAGAAAACCGCGAGGATGTTGTTGAACGGACGTTGCGTGATCGAAAGGGGGTTGGCAAAATTGAAGTCAGAGGAAAAAACGGTCGAAAAAGCGGTAAATTTAGAAATCGAAAGTGTGGGGTAAACGAGGGACTGGTTCGAGAGCGGGCGCGAACCGTCCAAAAAAGAAATGATAAAGTGGCGTAGGACGAACGGAGCGAGCCACTTTGGGGGACAATAATTGATTGGAGTCGAAAGGTATAAGTACCGGGATAGGTAGGGGGACTGGAGAGAGAAAAGTATGGCGGAAGTTTTGTTAGCGCGGGGAGCGCTAGTTTTGGTTGTAGTTGGAGTTCGGAAAATAAAAAAGGTAGGATCTAAAATAGAGGGACAATTTGCGTGAGTCGAATGGTGTAACTACGTGAATTTAGTGAGGGTAGGATGTAATATAAACGGGAGTTTATTAGCGCGGGGAGCGCTGATTTAGGTTTTAGGATCGAAATTAAAAAAAAGGGGTTTGGATAAAAATAGAGGGGGTAATTACTGAGCGAACGTCGGAGTTGTAACAACGGTAATTTAGCGGGAGTTTATTAGCGCGGGGAGCGCTGGTTTTGGTTGCGGTGTAGGTTCGAAAATTGGAGACGGTTCGAAATAAGAGGGGGACAATTTATTTAGCGTGAGTCGAAAAGGTGAGGGGTAAGTTAGAGGGTGGGAGGTGATTTTAGCGGGAGTTTTTTAGCGCGGGCAGCGCTGGTTTTGGTTGTAGTTTAGAGTTCGAAATTCAAAAAGGTAGAGCTAAACGAGGGGACAATTTGATTGTGTGAGTCGAAAAAGTCCGAGAATATATGTGGTTGGCGACAATTTATTTGTTTGATTATTTATACGGCAAAAATTACTAACCACAGGTTAGGAGAAAACACCGTATTAAGTTTTCAATTGTGTGTGCGATGTCGGTTTTTAGGGCGGCACGATTTGAGTTAAAACCTAGAAAAATACTCAAAAAGTGTGGGGTTACAATCAAACGACCGGGGGCTTTTTAGGTCAGTATGAAAGGTGAGGCCGA